ACAGCCTCTACAAGCATTACCAGGGCCAAATTCACATAGGCCTTTTCTAGGCTGAGTCTTATAGTCTTTGTGAGAAAAGGGGTCCTCAGAGGGTCCCCAACATGAGCTGAGCATGCACGTAGACTCACTTAGGTTGGAAAAACCCTGTAAGATCATCAAGTCCCACCATTAACCCAGCACTGCCAAGTCCACCACTAAACACATCCCTAAGTGCCACATCTGCATGTCTTTTAAATCCCTCCAGGGATAATGACTCCACCACTGCCCCGGACAGCCTGTTCCAGGGCTTGACAACCCTTGTGGGGAGGAAATTTTTCCTAAAACACAAAAGCAACGGACAAAACCCATCCACAGTGGCCCCCCTGCCACCTTGGACTTTCTGGAGCTGCAAGTTGATGCACGGAGTCGCCGGCAGCTGCTCTGGCATTTCAAGGTTGACCTCTAGAGGAAGTTTGTGGACAAGCAACGGCTGCGAGGGTGACACAACAACTGCAGAACCGAATTGCCAAGGACTTGGAGATTAGCTGTGCCCCAGGTGTCCAGCAGCGATGACAGGCACAGCACGGTCCCTCAGCAAACGGGTCCTCCCCAGTTGATGGTGTGCTGGGCAGGACAGCATGGAAAAGCATCAATCACTGCAAACCCACCCTGTGTCCCCAAGGGCTGGAGATCTGCCTGTCATTTCTATCACTGGGATCCCTGCTGAGGCTGCAGCGGGGCCACGGGACCTGCCCTCCAGCATGAGAAGGTCCCTCCCATCTTTCCGTGCTCCCCACCAAGGGCTCAGCGCTTTTAAAGCCTGACAAGTTCTGCTTTCCTCCCACCGCCCACCCCCCAGCATCTCTCCTTCTGCTCTAAATTAGTCCGTTTATCACCTAAAATTAAATCAAGATCTGCAGTCTGCTGCTCTGTCAAGATGCGAGGGTGTGAACCACATCACGCTTCGCTGAGCCTTAAAAGGCGACAGAAATCTCCGCGCCCGAGATAAAGGTTCTGTGAACATCACTGCGGGCAAACTGCCGCACGCCCAAAACATCCTCCCCAGCGCAGGCAGAGGTGAGAAAAACAAATCCAGCCCTCTCTCCGCAATTTTCGCTCCCTCCCTGCTGCCCTTTGATGTCATGCCAGCCTCAGAATGTGACATCTCTGCAGTGTCCCCTCTGCCTCTGCCCCGTCAGCCCCAACACGGCACTGGCTGTCCAATGGTCCAGGACACCGATCCACTCTGGCAAAGCACCTGTGTGGGATCTGAGCACAACCTTCTCCCTGTGTCCTTGCCCATCCCAACTTAACCCTGGTTCCCTGGCTTTTCTGTCTCCTGGAGAAGAGTTTTTCCCCTCCCTTTCTCCTCCCAGTAGAGTTGCCAGGGCAGGGGACCACCACAAAGCATCCCTCCCTGTGCCTCCACCATGCCCGCACATCCCTCCGGGCTGAGGAGGAGGTGACATTAAAGTCTCCTTCACAGCAGCCCGGAAGGGATGTAAAACTCCTCCATAGCCCCGTGGGGCAGCACAGGAACACCCATCAGGGTTTTAGGTCCCATAACTGGGTCCTTCTTGCCCAGTGTCAAGAAAGGGGATGGCAAGGGGGAGGTTTCTGTCAGCTGCTGGGATGGAGTTTTGGGGAAAAGAAATGGTTTGGGGAGCAGCTCGGAGAGCACCACGGCGTGAAAGAGGCTCGCCCAGGTGAGGTACCCTTCCGAAAAGCCATTTACCTCCCCAGTCTCTCCTCCTGGGCTCCCAGCCCCTCCGCTGAGCACCTCCCAAGGACACAAATGAGCGCAGCTTGCCAGTTCTCAGCCTGCATCGCCCCAAAACAGCCCCCGGCAACAACCCCTGCCCAGAACCGTCCCACGTCCTTTTGTCCTCAGCCCTTGCACCACCCAGAGCACCTTGCATCATCCAGTTTATCCCCACGGGCAGGGACAAGACGAAAAGCCCCTCAGCTCAAGGAAGGTGGAGGGGGGACAGTTGCCCTTTGCAGGCTGCACAGAAATATTGCCCCCAAACACAGCATGGAGGGGTGTCCCCCGTCCTCCCCCGAAAGCCAGCGGTGCGGCAAAGCCGGGCACAGCCCGGTGCTCCCGTCTCCTCACATCCCTGCCGGGACACGGACCCCAGCCCCAGCCCTGGACAGGTCCTCCCACCGCTCCGGGGGAGCATCCCGGGGTGTTGCCCCTCCATCCATCCCCTACCTTTGCGGAACGGCATGGGGTAGGGGGAGGCAGGGCTGCGCTCGGACGCCTGGGTTCCGTGGCTGCGGACGCCTTCTCTTAGATATTATATATATTAAAATATATATGTTTCTTCTGTATTTGTATTTTCTTCCTTCCTCCTCCTTCTTCTCTTAGAAGGAAACGGACATATTTGGGCAAAGCCCGGCAGAAACCCGCGTCATTCGGAGGGTGGCACTGCGGAAAGGAGGAAGTTCTTGCAATTTCAGAGCTTTTAACCCTTCGCTTCCTGGAGGCAGCAGGGCTGGGAGAGAGGCAATAGGGACAGGACAAGGAGCTGATGGCCTTAGAAAGGGATGGAAGGCGCTGGGAACGGGTTTTTGGGTTGGTCTGTGGTGAATTTTTCCTTGGTGGGACCAGTACAGAACTGAGTGTAATGGATGTGAGTGGGATAATGGAGTTTTAGGCTCCTGCATCACTTCTGCTGATTTCTGAGCTCAGCAGAACACCGATCCCATCTTCTTTGTGGAGGCACTGGAACCAGCTGGGAAAATTCAAACACTTCCAAAACAAGGGTACCAGAAACACAGATCCCCCTGTTTAGCATCTCCTGCCTGCCCATGTGCAGGCTGGATCACTCAAGGCAGTTGGAAGTTCAGATCCTGCTGTTCTAACCCCCATGCTGAGGATGGGCAAATCCCTCTCTCCCAGGATCATGGGGTTGGGATGAGTCGTGAGCTCATCCCAGAGTCTTGGAGCACCAATGAGGAGTATTATCACCTGGGACAGTTGTTTATTTTTACTGTGGCTCCTTTACTGCCCTCCCTGGAGGTAGAAATAGGCATTGGCTTGGAGCTAGTTCAAGAGAAACACTTTGAACTGTGAATGACTGGAACCCAGCCTTTCATCTTGGTGGTTAACAGTGATACCACGAGCTCCTTGCTGTGTCTTTGCTCCCTGCAAAACTGTTTTTCCCTCCTGAAGTCACCAAGACTTTCCTCAAACCACCCCTGTGGTGTTCTAAAGCCTTCCTGCCCATCTTCTGCAGCCTCCAGCCCCATCCAGACAACCATGATGCTCAAGGTGAAAATTCTTCATCCTCTCCAGTGCAGGGTCAGTCAGATTTGGCTTAATTTCCCCTGAAGAAACCTATTTAAGCCAGTGAGTGAGGAGCACTCAAAAAAAAAATGCCCCCCAGGCTGTTATGAGAGCTGTGGCTCCAGCAGGGATAGCAGGGAAATCAACATCTTACATGGCATTGCTGCCTCTGCCCTGCCTGGGGAGTGATGTCCACTGCACATGGAAATATTCCTGAGCCCCAGCACCCTGTGAGGGGAAAAAAGAACAGAAGATTTGGTGGCATGGGTTGCTGGGCTTCCTTCCAGCAACTGGAACCAGTTACAGCTCTGCCCCCACAGACATGGCTGGACAGGCTGGAGTTGCATCTGCCCAGGCAACTTGAGCAGGCAACCATTTTCTTGGGGAAAAATCATCCAAAAATGGAATTTCTCAGGACATTTAGTAACCTTAAATGGTCATAGGCTGGGAAAATTTAAGGCAGGTGGGTTGGACATCCATGTGCTTCTGCCACACAGCCCAGAAGGTAAAGGAGATCTCTTCTTCACTCCAGGTGATGGTCCAACATCCAGGCAGAAGGGAAGGACACCCCAGCCACGCCCAAGGCCAGGGCAGCATGACCCAGGAGCTCTGCTGGTTCACCCTGACTCTAACCCAGTCCTCTGCTTTGCCAAATGAGTGATATTCCTTGGAGTGATGAGCTTTCAAATCCCTATAAAACACAAAAATAGATTTTTACAGTTTTATTACCCAGTATAAATGTGGATTAGCAGATCATCTCCAGGAGAGTATTTTCAGCACATGACTCCAAGGCTTGGCAAAAGAAACAGCATGAAAAATACTCAGGGTTAGACCCAATAATGAACTTGAGTGTCTTGTCCACCGAAATACATGTTTGGATGCTCATGTCCAAGTCTCTTGTCCCTAATATTGTGCTCAGTGCCTGCATAGCTTGGAAGGGGCTTAACTCCTTGTGCAGTTTTTTTTCTGCAGCACTAATCTTGCCTGGACCCTGTCACTTCAGCTCCAAAAACTTCCCAGCAGGAGCATTTTAGAGCCTTGTAGGTGTGACCAGGTCCTTTATCAGAGGATGATGGATCAGGTCCCCATTAAGGTGCTTCTGTCACGTGGTCCCTGCTCTCGGATTTGCTCCAGTCATTCTGTGCCTTGGCCCAGAAAGATCTCAAGTGGAACCGTCTTTGGTGTCCATTTTCCCTATGGGAAAATTCCAGAAATCAGCTTCCAAGCTCCAGCCAAGGCCATCACAGGAATCAGAGCATCTTGTTGCTTCATTCCCTGTATTAGATACTATCGTTTTTCACCCACAGAAAGCACCTCAGGCATCTCAGTGGTGTCAGGCAGTTTAAATAAAGAGAGAAGACTTCAAACATAGTCTGGGTACTTCTGGTGGATGAGGATCTTCACCCCTCACTGACTGTTCAACAGCTTTCCTGTCTGGGATCTAAAAAGAACAACATAAAAGAACAATATTAATGATAATTAAAAAATTGCTGAGAATCAGGCTGGTCCCAAAAGAAGGTTTAGATTAAACTAAACAAACTATGGTCCAGGACAGTGAAATCAGGGCATCTCCTCTCGGCAGAGCACAAATGCCAGGCTGCACAGTCAGAGAGGGTGGCAGTGGCTCAGCATCACTTGAGGTTTTCAGAAAAGTTGGGCAAACATGGTGGGAAAGGTCTCAGCCAGCACTGATCATGCCCTGGGGCTGAGGGATGCTTCTGGAGATCTTCCCAAGTGCTGGTTTCCATGGGAGAGGCACTCAGAGACTTGATTTTTGCCAGCACCTTTCCCAAATGTGTCCTGTAGGAAGCTGTCTCTGAAGGAAATAAAAGCATAATTTAATGACTATTAATATTTTAGGGGGGTTGACACAGCAAAGGGTCCTTTTACCTGTCTCCCCAGGCTTAAACCCATATTTTGTAGAAACACAGAATGGTTTGGGTTGGAATGGATCTTAAAGACCATCTCATTCCAAACCCCCCACCATGGGCAGGGACACTTTCCGTTATCCCAGGTTGCTCCAAGCCTCATCCAACCTGGCTTTGAACACTTCCAAGGAGGGGGTATCCACAGCTTCTCTGGGCAACCTGTGCCAGTGTCTCACCACCCTCACAAGGAAGAATTTCTTCCCAATATTCCATCTAACTCTGCCCTCTGGCAGTTTGAAGCCATTCCCCCTTGTCCTGTCCCTCCATCCCCTGTCCAAAGTCCCTCTCCAGCTCTCCTGGAGCCATTTTAGGCCCTGGAAGGGGCTCTAAGGTCTCCCTGGAGCCTTCTCTTCTTCAGGCTGAACACCCCCAGCTCTCCCAGCCTGTCTCCAGAGCAGAGGAGCTCCAGCTGAGATGCAGTGACTGCAGCCCTCAGCTTCATCCTCAACCCCAGAAAAACCCTCCTTGGCCAAGATGGAGATGGAGACTGGATTGGCCTTCCCCACCCTGCACTGGATCCATAGGGATGCACAACCAGGCTTTGTATCGAGGGGCACAGAGATGAGCTCAGCTGCTCAGCATTTCTGCACATACCTGAGGGGAAGCTGAGATATCCTTACCTATACAGGGAATAATTGATCTTTATATCAGTGATTGCCCAGCCAGGAAATCAGTATCAACTCTCCTCCCTTTCCAGTCAGTTAGATAATGGGTGGGAGCAGTCTGGGAGACAGGAATGTCAGTGCTTTTCCTGAGCTGGAGCCACGCAGTCATTTCAGCTGAGAATCAGTCACGGGGATCTCCTTCAATACAGGAGTTGTACTCTACAAGCAAATAAGAATGCAAACAGCTCCTTTGAAATATTTATAACATCTTGAATGGCTTGTGTGGCACAAACCCAAGAAAGACAAGGGTGCTCGTAATTGCTGGCTCTGGGTATGTCAGGGGATGTGCTTACATTGATTGATCTGCCTTGCATAATCCTATTTTGTCCTTTTATAGGATGTTTGGGTGCTTGAGCAGGCTGAGAGCTGCTCTTGTGCCTAAGCCAGCCTCCAAGGTGGCACTTCAGTGACCAGGCACTGACAATCACGCTTTCGTTTCCAGCCCATGCCCAAGGTGTTTGCTAATTTTCCCAAGCTGCAGCAGCCAGAGACACCTGGTTGACAAGGAGGTGTTAGGTCATAGGTCGGACTCGATGATCTCAGAGGTCTTTTCCAACCCAGTCAATTCTGTGTGATTCTGTGCATGGTACCCAGCTCCCTTTCCCACAGCGAGCTCTCCCCACATGTTGATCACCAACCTGATTCTTCAGCCTTGCAAATTTAGCAGAAGAGAAAGTTGCAGAGAGGCTCATGGCCTCTCACTGGGAATGGAAATGCTGTTTCTGCTGGGAGAACAGGCAGCACAACCAGGTCATCAGGGCTTAATATGCAGCAGGGACTGGGAACAATAAGCTTTTGGAGACTTTGCAGCCAACCTCCCCCCCCAGCCACTAAAACCTGACCTTGAGAGATTACTTTTATTAACCTTTGGTATTAGAGCTGTCCTCTTCATATCTCAAAGATTAAGTGCTCTATAAAGGTGTGGGGACGAGATTAGATTAGAAAGATACAGGTCAAAGACTTAGGACAAGGGGGAATGGCTTTAAACTGACAGAGGACAAGGTTAGATTGCAGATTAGGAAGAAATTCTTCACTCTGAGGTGAGACACTGGCACAGGTTGCCCAGAGAAGCTGTGGATGCCTCATCCCTGGAAGTGTTGAAAGCCAGGGTGGACAGGGCTTGGGGCAACCTACTGTAGTGGAAGGTGTCTCTGCCCATGGCAGGGGGTTGGAACTGGATGATCTTTAAGATCATCATCCAGCCCAAACCATTCTATGACTCTGTGACCAGGTATTCTTGGTGCCTTGCACAGCTCCAGATCCTGGTCTCCTGTTTTGCACAGTTATCAGCTTTTGGGTTTTGGAGAGGAAGAAGGAACTGGACAGCATTTCCCAGGAGTGGTCTGCAGGCAGTAGTTACTGCAGCTGTCAGGTACAAACCCTCATGGCTTTTCTACAGCTGCCAGCTCCAGCAGGTTTCTAACGTGATTTTGCTCTTCCCATGCAGGAAACTCTCTCTCCCTTCTCCATTGATTTCCATGGCTTTGAACTGCTACCACATACCCAACCTGGCACTGAAGAGGAAATGTCACATTTGGAGACACAGCTGCATTCTTCTTCTGATGCATCCAGAGCGACAAATAATCACTTTTACTTCACACACTCCAGGCTTGCTCCTTGCCATGGAGTTAAACCCCCCCCATTTTTTTTTAATCAGAAAAAAGAAAAAGTATGTATTGATTTTATGATGCCAACATCATTACTTTTTAATATAAAAGCTGATAGCGGCCTCAAGTTTCCAGGCTTTTGTATTCCCCAACACTGCAGGAAAAACAAAAACCATCAGGCTTTTGCCCATGAATAAATCAACACACTGGATAGAGATAAATCGAAGCGAAACACTTCTAAACGATCAGGTAGAAATCCAAGTGAAGAAAGGGCAGGAAATACATGACTAGCACTGTGATAGCTGAAGATATTTTCAAAACTTACTTGATTTCCCTATTAGCTGTAAATTCCTGACTTCCTTGGAAGAGCTGAGCCCCTGCAGGAGAACATGATACTTCTGAGACAGTACCTGTGGATGCTACTGTTATGTGGGACGATGTGCAGAGCTGTAACTGGTGTGGTGCAGGGAGAAGGGCTGGCTGCACAATCCTGGGTCTTCCTCTGAAATTTGTGCTTGAAGCAAATCCTCAAATCCCACTTTTAAATTTTGCTTTAAGTCTTTAAATTTTGCTGGGCAAGTGCATCACCCCCTCCTACAAAGAGGGAAGACAAGTCACTGGGAATTGCTCCAGCCCATATCCTCTCCCAGTGATTACTCTCCATCACTACAACTGCACAAACCCAGCACTCTCCCAAAGCAGAAAAACACAAATCCCCACCAGTTTTCCCTTCCCATCCTCCCAAGAGGAGCAGGTGCTGGAAGAGCCTGGTGTGTTTTGCTAGAGTATCATTTGAGTTTTGGTTCACAGTTGCTATACAAGTTTTACAAGTTCAAAGCAGTGAAGTCCAAAAATGCTGCCCAGCTTTATGCCTGGGGCAAAAGGTGGAGAAATCCATGATGAGATGAAGGCCTTTGTCTTGGCAGAACCACGTGGATTCCTGAGCTGTTGACTTGCTGCAAGCTCCCAAATGGAGGCCAGAGATCACACCTCAGAGACTGGGAGAGGGAAAACAACTCAGGGGTATGAAGTGGCAAAGATGCTTAAAAAATGCTTTGGCAAAATCCCCCACATTCCTCCTAGGGGAGGAATAAGAATCAGGAGAGAAGAAAGGAAATGGTTCGGCATCTTCCTGGGAAAGATCTTGTTTTCCATACAGTTGACCTTGTCTTGGGCTTCAAGCATGGGATACAACTTGTGGGAGATGGGGAGGAGCACCAGCCTTCAGGCTGCCCAAGCAGGGATGTCCTGCACAGCCCAGTGGGAGCAGGACAGTGGTCCCCTGTCCCCTGCTGTCCACAGGTACAGGGCTGAGAGTCTGGGGAGTGGTAACACTGTTTGGACATAAGACATAAGGCTGTGCTCTTACATTTCTATACTAACTAGAATTAAATGCAGCATGAATCCCTGTGCTTTGGGATTTCCCCATTTCCTGATGCTAAAAAGAAAAGGAAAAGAAAGGAAAAGCCATAAAGCTGCAATTATGAGCTCTGCAGGGATCAGAAATCAGAGAAAGCAGGTAAGAGAGGAAACATCTGCAGGAGTATACAGGCTATCCCTTCTCCAATTAATGCAATGTTTCCTTTGGCTTTCATGTGTGTTCTTCCACTGCAGCTTTTCCACCTCGATGCCCACTTCCCCCCCATTCAAGTAGGAGTTTGCTCACTGAAATGGAAAGCTGTGTTTGCACCCGTGCACAGAAAGCCACGAGCAAGACCCAGCCCTGCCTAAAACAGACAGACAGCAAGATCCCTAAAGGAGCACAGCTCACAACGGGATCACATTTGTATTTACTGCCAGCTACTGCACAACTCTGGGTAAGTTACCAAACACAGGCACACAGACAGGGACTTTATCATCCATTTTTCTCTCTTGAGGAACATAAGTGGAAGAATTTGTGTTTGCCCAGCTTTCATTCCAGCAGTTATAAGTCCTGCAGACTTTACAGTAATTTTTTTCTCCTTGCCACTAACTGGACACAAAAGTATTTTTGCAGTAAAAAGGAGGTAAAATCATGCTGGGCATTCAAGGCAAGTGGGCACACCTATCCCACTGACCTGCTGAAAAAGAAAGGCAACCTTACCAATCTAAGCATTCATTTAGAAAAAGTTTCAGAGTTCATAGATCCTTTGGTGAGGAGGAGGATCCTTTGCTCCTGACACAAGGCATGAGTATCTATCATTACATCTAGGGCTGCCCAGGGGTTAAAGGCTCTGGAGCTGGCTGGTGCTGTGAGCAACTCATATAATTGCCAAGTTTTGCATCCTTAAAAAATCCTTTCTGAGGCAGGAAATGTCACTAAAGTCCTTTGAGGAAAAGGTCCATTTTTCAGCAACCTGGTCTAGTGGAAGGTGTCTTTGCCCAGGGCAGGGGGTTGGAACAAGACAATCCTTAAGGTCCCTTACAATCCAAACCATTCAATGACTTCATGAGTCAGAACAAGGCAAAACAGATGAATTTATCCACTAAACTACATCACAGGTGAAAAACACTTGCTTGAAATGCATTTTTAGGCCAAAGTGGGACAGAGATGAGGTTCACATATTAAACAAACAGTCAAGGGTCATGTGTCCTGCCAGGAGCTGCCTGACCATCTCCAGCTGGGCTTTGCAAACCCCTTCTACAGCTGTAACCAAAGCCAGTGGTGGTGTGTGAGGATAAACCAAACTGATGGGATGATAAAGGCACTGGGGTTGCTCTTTAACTGCCTTGCAGCTTGAATAAAATCACAGCATCACAGGGCAAGAGGGAAGTCCTTTATTAGAAGTCCTGTTTACAGGACACACCAAAAAAATTCCCAAGCCCAGGCACTAATCTCAAATCTATCTATGAAAAGCCACCTCTCCACAAATCAGCATAGCTGAAAGCCAAATCTCCTGGCTGTATCTTTCCCTGCTCAGCAACAGCAAATTAACAGTCAGCACACACTGCCAACACAGTCAACCCCTACTCCTCTTTAAGGACAACTAAGGGCAGGAATTCTCCTAAGGACTCAATCATTACCACACTGTACTGCAGTTATTGGTACAGGAAGTGCTTGTAAGAAACATAGTAAGTCCTCCACGATCACAAGCAGCTCCTGCTTTATTGGGAAAAGGAACAGAGAATTTTAATTCATTTCTACAATTCTAGAGTAGCTAATCCTGAACATTGTTTTTTATGAAGGACAAGAAGATCATTAGCAGCAGCCAGCATGAATTCACTGAGGGGAAGTTGTGCATGACCAACCTGATAACCTTCTAGGATGAAATGACTGGCTTGGCAGACACTGTCACTAATTATCTGGATGATGGGGCAGAGTGTGGTCCCAGCATGCTTGCAGATCACACCAAACTGGGAGGAGTGGCAGATACTCCAGAGGGTCCTGCTGCCACCCAGAGGTGCCTGGAGAGGTTGGGAAGAAGCTGGCAGGAGCATCATGGACCTCAACCAGAAGGGCCAAGTCCTGTACCTGGGGAGGAACAACCCCAGGCACGAACATGGGATTTGATTTAAAGCAACTCAGGATGATCTCAGTCTTGCTCAGGGCCTCTTGCACCAAGTGCTATAAGGACAAAGTACTCACTCCCTCATTAGACTTCTGCTTGTGGAGCAAGAAAGATCTGAGAGGTTCAAGAACCTCTTTGAAACCTTCCATGTTTGTCCTCCTACCTTTAAGAAAACTATGTGGGGTTAAAACGCTTATTTACCCCTGCAGACAAGGGTAAAATACCCTGACACACTCAAACCTTCCACAGGACCTTGGTTTCAGATAAACCCCTTCTAAAGCAAGCACCTACCCAGACTGCAGCACACAAATTACAAATCCTTCTGAATTTGCTTTAGAATCTAAAGTTCAAGGATAAGAGAACTTGCCATTTTCCGCTGTCAAAATAAAAAGCAGCACCACAAGGAATGTGGTTTTTGGCTGCATAGTTGCAAGTACAGGGCAAGAGGGTGTAATCCCAACTCTCCAAACCACCTTCTGCATGTTCTTGGGCAAGACACTCCTTGTACCTCCCTCTGTGTTCAGACAGCAAGTTCTTTGGGGCAACAGCTCTCACCTTTCACGTAACAGTGGCAAAACAAGCTTAGATTTTGACAGTAGTGTTAAAAATGTTCCCTGTGAGCTCCAGCTCATCAGATTTTAGTCTGACATGGAGGAGGCAAGTGATAAACCAAGAGAAATTCAACTTAGGCTAAGCACATAGTACAATAAATCATAACCTGTGTGCTAAATGATGGGCTCTGAAATAGCTGCTACTGCTCAGGAACACCTTGGGGCTGTAACAATTAGGGAAGCAATGAAGTCACTAAATCCCTGCTGTTAAAATAGCAGCCAATGTTCTCAATTAGGAAGAGAACAAGGCAGCAAAGGGTGATGCCACTATGCTCTTAAGACCTCAGCATTGCTAATGCACCAAGCACCTCATTCAGCCCCGAGCTGACACGTCCTACACGTCCCTGTCAGCTCCTTGTTCCCTTCAGGACACTGTCAAACCTCTCCAAGTAGACATCTGATCCAGATTCCCAGAAGCAATGAACAGTTCATACTTAGCCTGAGAGAAGGTGCAGTTATTCAGCACATTATTCAGCACACAGAGAATCACAGCACTTGCAGAGGCACTTAAAACGTGGAATTAAAGCTTAACTTTAGTAAATTGTACCTGAAAGACATCCAACGCTTCAGCTGAAATAGAATAACCAATCCTGCAGTGCCAATAAGGCAAATGCTCTTAACAGCCCATCACCCTCTTCATTTCCTGTAAAATCAGAACCTTCTAAGGCACCACACAAAAAGAGGAAACAAAAATCTTATTGCTTAAGACCAGAGTCACCAGCACGTACCTTACAGAAAGAGGCGGCTGCACAATTTCCAGAATGCAAAGATAAGCAACCAAGCAAAACTTGGTGGCTGCAAAGAACTCCAAATTAAGTGCTGCTGAGCCTTTTGAAAGGGCACTGATGAATCACAGAGGAGAAAAATGGATGTATAAGCAGGGAAAGCTGGAGGTGTTAGATAAAAAGTCATATGAGAAACTACTAGAAATAGA